ATCGATGCATTCTTCTTCCCAATACCAAAAGTTGCATCCATTCTACATAATAAAAATTTGAGTGAGTACAACTAGTCGAATTCAAGAGCACAACCGAAGCTAAATTAGCACATACCCAATCGTTTGAGCACTTGACGAACACCCATCTGGAATGTTCTGGCGTTGTAGACATGCGGCGCAAGACCTTTCTTGGGTAGTCGTCGCACTTTATGAGTGGCAACGGTGCGCCGACGAGCCTTTGGGCCAGCACCGAGCCCGGCCGACGGTCGTTCTTGTATTTGTCGGCGATCCGCTGACGGGGTAGATCCGAGCAGCTAGAGGCGGAGTCAGTACCTGCATGCGGCCTTGAGGCCTTGCTGGGGCCTTCCGGCCCTGTGCCCGGCGCGGCCTCCCGTAGCCGAGCGAGCTCAAGTCCGGCCGGATCCGCTCTAAATCCGCCCGTCGGATGCGCAAATCAGGTGGCCGTAGTTGGGCAACTCGGGGCGTCGAGGGAATGGAGGCTGCGACAAGGGTTGTGGCGAGCGCACGACCGAGCTGCACAGCGGAAATGGCGGTGGCGGCGAGGGACGAGAGGGGCAGGGGTGTGGCTGGAGCGGGAGGGGGTAGAAAAAGGGGGTCCGCGTCCCCGACGAGCAGGCCAGGGGAGGACAGGGTCGTGCACCACGCACCGTTTGCGTGTATCCGTTTGGCCGTAAACTCGGCCCAAATTTAAGCTAAAAATGGGTCGAAAGCGAACAAAAAAGGGACGATGGTCCGTTTGCGGCTACGCGTTAAAGGGTCTGCTTTGTCCGTTTGCCCCCAAACAAATACGGATGGACCATTCGGGGTTGTGCGTTGGAGTTGGCCTGAAACTTGCGATGAGCATGGCAATATGTATCTCAACAGCTGTTTCATCGAGATTTCAGCATATATTATGCATGGGCACACTGGCGGATCCTCTTGGGGACCATACTGGGCCATGGCCCAATCTTCCAAAACTACAAAAAATAATTAACAGGGTATGTGGCCCATTATATCCATTCCGTCCCACCACTTAGCCCAAGTCTACAGCAGTCTGTTATAAGTGGGAGCAACTAGTTGACGAGCGCTTCTTCGGGGGCCTCGCAATGATCACTTGCGGGTGGGCTGAAAGCACGTCCGCCACGTGTCGCCTCTGAACGCTCTCTGATTTATTATTATTATTATTTTCCACATGTGTTTTCGTTTTTTCCCCGGGTTTTTTTCGACCTTTTGGTTTTCCATCAGTCTTCTTTAGCTTTTGGACCAAAAAATCTCACGAAAAAAACATGTTTTCTTTTCTTTTTCTTTCATGAGAGGCACATTTTTTCTTTCACGAGAGGCACACTTTTTGCTTTCGCAAGAGGCACAGCCGTCTCTCTCTAAAACAAAAAAAATGTGTTTTCTGTTTTTTTCCTTCCGCGAGAGGCACGGCATGACCTCGTCTCTCCAAACAGAAAAAAAAACATGTTTTCTGTTTTTTTCTTTCGTGAGAGGCACGGTTTAGCTTTCGCGAGAGACACGGCCGTGCCTCTCGGAAATGGAAAAATACGTGTTTTCTGTTTTTTCCTTCCGCTAGAGACATGGTTGTGTTTTCGTGAGAGGCACAGCCGTGCCTCTTTCGGAAAGGGAAAAACAGTGCTCCCGGTTCGGTCTTTTTGTCCGGTTTTTGTGTGGAAAAAAGTTTGTCAAAACCTATCAATATCCTATCTAGTTTTAAAGATCTCGACGCGAGGAATCCAACGGTGAAAAAAGTTCGAGATTTGAACACACGGTTTAAGAGATAAACCGTTTTGAATAAACGAGTGTACAAAAAAAACTCTCAAGTTGCAACACATGGTGCCATTTGTCATAATCTGAGAAGATGAGAGTGATCTTTACAAGAAGTACTTTCCAATTATTGATTTCAGTCATAAGCTCCTTTTGCTACCCTTAAAAAAGAGAGCTCCTTTTGCTACGTTGTGGGCTGGGGTTTGACGTTCTGGGCAGTGCTCCGCAGTGGCCGAGAGGTACAATGCAATACCAACCTTCAATCTCTCCAATCCTTTCCACCTAAAAAACTCCAATAATTTCTAAAAAAAAAAACTAAAAAACTCCAACAGGTTCACTAAAAAAGAGGTAATATCACTGGCACTCGTATAACTTGCGCTGAATGTTCAGTTTAGTGCTAAAATGTTAAAAAATACGAATTTATAGTCATCTAACTTGTTGTTCAATGCAAATACGGTGCTTTTTACCGTATCAGGAACATATGGAGAGATGAGACAGAGGGAGTATTTTTTCTTTGCTAAGAATGAGACAGAGGGAGTAGATACTAAATACCATGGCAGAGAATACTCATCCATGTGCCCATGTATACATACTGAAATCTCAGCCAAATAGTTGTCGAGATACATCAAGCAGATTCATTTCGATGCTCATCGTGCATGTGCTTGCTGAAATCTTAAGTGTTGCAAAATTGGTTAGTTGTTCATCTTTCTTTCTTTCTTTTTTTGCGGGAAACTCATCATTCATTCAAAGTACAATGATATTTTTCTACTTTAAAAAAAGGTTTTCTCCGTTGTGTGTGTGTGGATGGCGGGGCGGGGGGTCTTCAGCCAGTTGATGTACATCTCGAAATTATTAACTCAACTGAGACTAATATTTGGTCAAGTAAAAATATGGACAGTTAACAATTGTTTTGATTTTTTAAGACCCTCCCACACAATACATAGTTCAGTATTGTAACCGTGAAATCTGAGATGTACATCAACTAGCTGAAGGGCCCATGTGGTTTCATGGATTATCTTGTTGGGCTTGCCATCTGTCTGGTCTTTGTCGGCTGTTTGAGATGTCGTGTGGGCTTGGCCCTGGATGCAATGGTTTTATCCTGGTTTTCTATCGATTAACCGGGCAAACTATCTTCTTGTTAATTAATGAAAAAGGCAAAGTTTTTGCCTCTGTTTAAAGAAAAAGTAACTGTGAAATTCAGTTGCAACTGATCCAAACCATTAAACTAGCCTTACATTTATATTTACAATCTACATATGTAGTTTCTCCTGCCTTCCTCCACTAGAATATCATATCAGCCATACAAACTGGAATCTTGCTATTTCATTAATCACAACACTTGCATGTTTATCCCCAGAAGCTTACATCTTATTTCTTTATGCATTGGACTACAAATTTCAGGATTTAAGCCGCAACTGAGATTGTTGAATCAAGACTTTAGGGAGCAAATAAGAACTTGACAGATATAATAAAGAACAATTATCAAGTAATTATATTCATTATTTTTTTGTGGGGTAATTATATTCATCAGCTACACATTTAGGTCTTCTCCAAAGAAACATTCTATATTTTACAATATAATTTTGTTTTTTTAGTTTGTTGTCTTAGTTTGCTTCGTTATTTAGAAAATGAGAAGAGTAGGGATGGGTCCTACTCAAAATAATGTTGTTTTGGTTATGTAATTCAGAACACATGCTTTTGTTAAGTATTATTATTGTAAATGAAATTTGTGCTTGTCCAGTTCTATTCCCCTTATTCCACTATAAACAAATCCGAGCTCATGTTAACTTAATGATCAGGTTGGCCCAATTTAAATAACCAATTTGTTTCAACTTTTTTCACGACTGTTGTCATTCCACTATAAACAAATCTGAGCTCTATGCATCAAAGGAGTTGCTATGGGCAAGAACGTACTTGTAGAAGGACGTTCGCGACTGTTGTCATTCTATTCTAACTCTCCCAGATTGAAAAGTTTACATAAAATTTAAATTGGATAACGTGGTTGGATACAGTTCTTTTTGTTGTGTTTACAAGGTACCATTTTCCTTTATGTCATTTATGAAGCAGCCTTAGTTATTCTTTTTAGGCAGTTAAAGTACACCCACATACTACTAGGCTACTACCCTTAATAAAATGATGTAGGGGAATCAGCTAAGATTGTACGTGTCTTTCATAGTGGCGTTATTTTCTATCATGAGCCTAAATTTTGATCTGTTATGTTCCATTATGTACTAAGATTATATTCACTTTTGATTTCCTGTATTGTAAATAAGAGTCTTGAGACCTCTTAAGTCTTTAGATATGCCGTGCTTAGTGAACAGAGGAGTTAGATACATCTGTCTTTCTTCGTCCACCAAAGAAAAGTTGGTATTTGTTTCTCGAACCTGATATGGATGTTTTAGGGAAAACTACCTAGCGGGACTGAGATTGCCGTCAAAAGATTGACATCATCATCAACTCAAGGCTCAACAGAATTCACTACTGAGGTTGAAATAATTGCAAATCTTTAAAAACAGAAATGTAATAAGGATACTTTGGTTTTGCATTCAAAGGGAAAAGCGATTTCCGGGGTTTCAAATTCAACAAGAGAGAGATCATCCTTGTCTACGAATACATGCCAACCAAGAGCGGGGGTAGAAAAAACGCCTCGGGCCAAGGTCTATTTTCTCTAAAACTATATTCACCGAGATTTCAATTCTAAATTGTTCTATCAAGATTTCAAAGAATTTTTATAATTCAGATGTCAATTCAACTTTAATCTTGCGGTGGTTATATGGATCCTGAACATATCATGTCTAGTAGGAAATTCTGAGCGAGGTCTGATGTGTATAGAGTCGGCATCATGGTTCCTGAGATCATGAATTGCTTTTGCCTGCACCGTATCTTTCAGTTCCATGTACTACAAGCTTTTTGATCGGCTCGGTCCAGCTTTTCTTTTATTCTCTACCTCCTGTCCTTGTCACTTTTCATTACTGACGCAGCTTCCACCCCAGTGAGCCTCTGCAGATAAATCGATTCCTCCGCGTGCTCGGTCCAAAGTTTGACCGTGGACTTGTACCCTCCCTTTGCCGTATTGACCACGCCCCCACCCGGTCACGCAGCGCCTTCCCCATTTCCACAACCGCCCGTCCTCCTCCTCCTCCCCCTCCCACGCTACAGCAGAGCAGCAGCAGCAGCCCCGTCGATCTACTCCGCGCTCCTCTCCCCCCCAGACCCGGCCGCTCCTCGCCGCCATGGCGCCTCGCGTGCCCTCCTCCCTCCTCCTCGTCGGCGCCGCGCTGCTCCTGGGCCTGGCGGCCGGCGCGGCGCGGGCGTCCAACGAGGAGGGGGACGCGCTGTACGCGCTGCGGATGCGGCTGTCGGACCCCAACGGCGTGCTCCAGAGCTGGGATCCCACCCTCGTCAACCCCTGCACCTGGTTCCACGTCACCTGCGACACCGCCAGCCGCGTCGTGCGCCTGTAAGCTACCGCTCGTCCCCCTCCCGCCCACCTCCGCTCAGTTCATCTTCCAGGTTTCCCCGCGCCTACTCAGATTAGCCCAGGAACCCAGCTCGATTTGAACTGCTACTAGGTCAAATTGCTTGCGTGCTGCAAGGATATCGACGGTCTTTCATCTTTACTCTTGCACTTGCTTCTTGTTCAAGGGATTGATAGCTTAAGCGATAGTTGAATAATCATACTAACTGTTCATTCAAAAGGGCCGATTTATATAAAAAAAGAACAACTTGCAAGCATAATCAATAGTTGTGGCGTCTGTCTGTCATAGTTCAACGATATTGCGTCCTGCTGGTTGGATGACCGTGTTGCGTGACGCTCTTTGTGGCAAACTTGTGCAGGGATTTAGGCAACTCCAACGTCTCCGGCTCCATCGGCCCCGAGCTCAGCCGCCTTGTGAATCTTCAGTACCTGTATGTGCCCCTGTGATGAATTCCACCGTCTCTGTTATTCAAACGGAGCAAAATGGTTTTGATTTCCTCAATTGGAACTTGATTTGCAGGGAGCTGTACAGGAACAACCTCAACGGCGAGATCCCAAAAGAGTTGGGCAAGCTGAAGAATTTGATCAGCTTGGATCTGTATGCCAATAAGCTCACCGGAAGAATCCCCAAGTCGCTTTCCAAGCTCAGCTCGCTGAGATTCATGTATGTATTATCCTCTGATTGCACTTCATTCCTCCACAGTACAAATGCCCCCTCTAAAAAAAACTACAGCACTAATTCATGGCATCTTTTGTCCAAGTGATGTACCCAAAATGGCTGGGCAGTCGTGGCCATAGTTCTGAATAAACTGAAATGCAATTTAAAAATTTGCTTTTGGCATAGTTAAGCATTAGATGTATTAAAAGGAAGTACGTTTGCCTGTCTTAATTCATATGGGAACAATTTTCCCCAAGCGAATACTAAATTGATATCTTACAGGCGTTTGAACAACAACAAACTTGCTGGATCAATTCCACGGGAGCTGGCCAAACTCTCCAACCTTAAAGTCATGTGAGTGTGCATCTTAACATATGTATACCAGATTTAGTTGTGCCGTTGATTCTCTATGGTTGCTGACTTTTAAGTCATTGTGACATGCAGTGATTTGTCTAACAATGACTTATGTGGGACGATCCCTGTCGATGGTCCATTCTCAAGCTTCCCTCTTAGAAGGTAATATCTCAAAGTCCACTAGCATATTTTGTGGAACTAACATGGATCTGGAGACCTAAAAACCTCTACATTTGTACTGTGATGTCCTCAAGGGCGATGGTCTAGTTTTTCATGATTGCGTAGACTAGAGATGTTAGGATGATGGTGTTTGAGGTCGTGTCATTCATAAGTTTTTTTCGACTGCTGTGTCATTCATAACTTGATAGCTTTCGTATCAGATATGGCATCTTCTCTGAGAATGAATTCATCCGATGAATGGCTAATAAGACATAATTGTTACTTTTCCAGCTTCGAGAACAACAGCAGACTGAACGGCCCGGAGCTGCAAGGATTGGTTTCCTATGACTTTGGATGCTAGAAAGCGCTGATGCACACGACAATGCACGTGGAAGGAAGGCAAAAAATTATAGTAGTACAACAAATAGTAGGAAGCTTAGCACTACAACATGTATGGCTTGCGATACATGCAGCAGAAGATGAAGAAGGTATGTGAGCATAGGGTCTGCGTTCGGTACTCAGACCCCAGAAGGAAAATAATGGGATGTGAGAAGTCTTAGCTTGATCGATTGTTATTGCCGTATTGTAAATTGTAATAAGCTGCTTAGTACCGCAGCTAAGCTGACCGCTTGGGTCCATTGAGTAAGCCTTTGCCAGTTCGGAACTAAATCCCAGCTGATGAAGAATGTATCTCAAGTTTTATCTACAAACGATCCACATCTCTTTGTTATGTTAGTATGGTTGAAGTACAAGCATTGTAGTGCAAAACAATATGAAGACTTTGTGCGGGTGAGAAGACGAAAGAAAAACCAGACGAAAAAAAAGGCAAAAAAAACCAGACGAAGGTGGGACGAAAAAAAACCGACGGAGACTACCAACTGCTCCATTAGAAGTAGAGATTATCCATGAAGCCTTCGGTACTTTATATCTTTACAAGGAAGGAATGAAGCTAGGCCAGTGTATTTTTGTAATGACATTTAGTTGTATAGGCAATGTAACACCCTCGATGCGACTATATCTCCCACGTGTCGAGGCACGACTTAGAGGCATAATCGCATTGAAGGCATATGTCGCAAGTTAGACAATCTTCACAACATCCCATGTAATATGAATAATAAAAGGGAGATAACATAGTTGGCTTACACTCGCCATGTCAATCAAGTACATAAATAACATTACATCAACCAAACACTCATGGCCCGACTACGGTGCCAAAATAAAAGATGACCCAACATGCGACACGGTCCCAATCACCCCCAACTGGGCACCACTACTGATCATCGGGAAAGGAAACATTGTAACGTTGAGAGTCTTCGTCGAACTCCCACTTAAGCTCATACGCGTCTCCTGGAGCGGAATCATCAGGCCCCGCATCTGGTGTAATAGTAATCTGTGAGCCACAGGGACTCAGCAATCTCGCACCCTCGCGATCAAGACTATTTAAGCTTGTAGGTATGGCAAGGTAAAATATGAGAGGAGCTGCAGCAAGCGACTAGCAAGTATGGTGGCTTACTTACGCAAAAGAGAGCGAGAAGAGGAGGCAAAGCACGAGCGAGAAGCTAGAGAACAACCTGCGCAAACATTACTCCAACACCGTGTCCACTTCCCGGACTCCGCCGAGAAGAGGCCATCATGGTAACACACTTGGTTGATTCATTTTAATTAAGTTAAGGTTCACGTTATCTACAACCGGGCATTAACAAATTCCCATCTGCCCATAACCGCGGGCACGGCTTTCGAAAGTTCAATCCCTGCAGGGGAGTCCCAACTTAGCCCATGACAAGCTCTCATGGTCAACGAAGGAATATACCTCCTCCCAAGAAGTTCCGATCAGACTCGGTATCTCGGTAACTCAAGACAATTCGACAGGTTAAAACAAGACCAGCAACACCGCCCGAATGTGCCGACAAATCCCGATAGGAGCTGCACATATCTCTTTCTCAGGGCACACTCAGATGAGCGCTCCATACAACTAAAACCAAACCTCGAGTTTCCCCGTGGGGGCGCTGCACAGGACTCTAGTTTGGACCAACACTCAGAGGAGCACTGGCCCGGGGGGGTTTAAATAAGATGACCCTTGGGCTCTGGAAACCCGAGGGAAAAAGAGGCTAGGTGGCAAATGGTAAGACCAAGGTTGGGCATTGCTGGAAAAGCTTTAATCAAGGCGAACTATCAAGGGGTTCCCATTATAACCCAACCGCGTAAGGAACGCAAAATCTGGGAACATAACACCGATATGACGGAAACTAGGGCGGCAAGAGTGGAACAAAACACTAGGCGAGAGGCCGAGCCTTCCACCCTTTACAAAGTATATAGATGCATTAAGATAACATGGCATTATAATGATATCCCAACAAGTAAATAAAAGATGTTCCAATAGGGAACGGCCTCCAATCTTCACCTGCAACTAGCAACGCTATAAGAGGGGCTGAGCAAAGCGGTAACATAGCCAATCAACGGTTTGCTAGGACAATGGTGGGTTAGAGGTTTGACATGGCAATTTGGGAGGCTTGCAAGCAAGTGGTAGGCATCGTAGCAATGGCATAGCAAAAGAGCGAGCAAACTAGCATAGCAAAGATAGTAGTGATTTCGAGGGTATGATCATCTTGCCTGCACAGTTGTCAGAGTTGACTGGATCCTCAAAAGCAAACTCAACGGGCTCCTCGTTAGCGAACTCGTCTCCCGGCTCTACCCAAACAAGACAAACAAGCAACAAGGATACAATCAACCACGTGCAAACTCAAACAACACGATGCAAAGATGATATGCTATGCGGGATGAGATGCGAGATGCAAAATGCAAGATATGACAGGAAAATGCATGAACCTGGCCTCAACTTGGAATTCCAAGGATGCCACTGGAAAGATGAGATGAAATCGCTTGAAAACGATATAAAGAACGCCGGAATCGGAGTTACGGTTTGGAAATGGCAATCGATTCAAAAATGACACCGGTCTGCGATTTACAGCAAGTAGGCATCTAAATGCAATGAAATGAACATGCTACAGCATCCAAACAAGACAACAAAATACATGGCATGGATGCACACAAGATTCTTAACAAAAGTCTAGCACTGAGCTACGGCCAATTCTTCCATTAGGAGATTGAAACAAGCATGGAAAAAGGCAAATGGTAAACAGATCTCAGACTTAGTGAAATTAACACTTGTCTGGAATTTCAGATCATATAGCCCTCTTCGGAGCAACAAAACAACATGCTACAGGACCTGAACATGACAAAGAAAGACATGGCATGGAGCTACTCAACAAGCTTAACAAAAGTCCCTTAGTGACCTTGAGCCAAAAGGGATCAGAAAATACAATTGCAAGCACGTGAACATAGCAAAAACATAATCAGTTTCAGACTTAGTGAAGAACTGACACATGCTGAAATATAACTCACGAAGGCATGTTTACTAGCTCGATGCACTCACTGCGGTGCAAGTCATGGTAAGACAAGCATACATCCACCAAGAAGGCACAAAATACAAGCTAGACATGGCAAGAACAATGGCATAGCATGCACGGATAAACTACAATAACATCGGCAAAATCGCAAACAAGTTGACGATCTGCCCAGATTCACAACGAAGCAAAAGTAGAGCTCGATTGACTCAAGCTAGGGTGCTCCATAATTGCAAACAAAGACATGGATGGATAGAGCACTACAATATTAACAAAACTCCCTTACTGATCATCCTCAAAAGAGGCACGAATCACTAGGAAACAACATGAACATATGGCATCATGAGATAAACAATCCCAGGACTTAGTGATATCACTAAGTCCCTGAAAACAGAATTAGCAAGTGCACCACTTTGCAAGCTTGCACAAGTCACCACACACATCCTAAAAATACATGGGTTGCACCTCTGGATAGATGACAAAACCCTTAACAAAACACATGTAGAACTCACGGGCATAGCATGCACACAATAATCATGGCAAAAATGACAAAAGTGCTAAACGGAGTAGCAGATCTGACAATTAACTCAAGTAGCCCTCTTCTAACAGCATTTCGGGCATCAAGATGAAATCAAATGAAAATGATGCAATGGAATGAAATGATGTACTGTCTGAGATGAACATTTTGAAAACTCAAGTAGCCCACTTGACTTTGAGAAATTTGATTGACTTGTTGCGAGTCTTGCGTTCAGTCTCTTCCAGAATAGCAACTGGGCGCTCATGATAAGAGAGATCTTCTTGGAGCTCAATGTCCTCGAAGTTGACGGTGCGGTCAGGAGTCTTGAAGCACTTTCGAAGCTGAGAGACATGGAACACGTCATGAACATTTGCAAAGTTTGAAGGAAGCTCGAGTTGATAGGCGAGGCCGCCTCTCTTGCTGACAATCTTTAAAGGTCCCACGTATCTAGGGCAAGCTTCCCTTTGATACCGAAGCGACGAGTACCTTTCATAGGAGAGACACGGAGGTAAACATGATCTCGAATCTCAAAAGTCAAATCACGGTGCTTACTATCATAGTAGCTCTTCTGGCGGGATTGGGCTGCTTTGAGGTTATCACGAATGACTTTGCACATTTCTTCTGCTTCTGTGATTAAGTCATTACCCAAAAGCTGACGTTCACCAGTTTCAGACCAGTTGATAGGGGTACGACACTTCCTGCGATACAGAATTTCGAAAGGGGCCTTGCCCGAACTTGCTTGAAAACTGTTGTTGTAGGAGAATTCAGCATAAGGAAGACAATCCTCCCACTTCATGCCGAAGGAGATAACACAAGCCCTGAGCATATCTTCAAGAATCTGGTTGACACGCTTGACTTGATCGCTTGTTTGAGGATGGAAAGCTGTGCTGAAGCGGATGTTCGTGCCCATGGCCTTCTGAAAAGAATCCCAAAACTTCGAGGTAAAGATGCTGCCACGGTCTGAAGAGATCAGTTGAGGAATACCGTGCAGAGAGACAATACAAGAGGTATAGAGTTCCGCCAATTGAGCTGCAGTGATCGACTCTTTGATAGGCAGAAAGTGAGCCACTTTGGTGAGTTTGTCGATGACAACAAATATAGCATCATTGCCACGCTTGGACTTTGGAAACCCAGTCACGAAGTCCATCTCAATGTGGTCAAACTTCCATTCTGGAATGGCAAGAGGTTGGAGGAGACCTGCTGGCCTTTGGTGTTCTGCCTTCACTCTTCTGCAGACATCACATTCATTCACGAATTGAGCGATCTCGCACTTCATTCGAGTCCACCAATAAGCTTGCTTAAGGTCCTGATACATCTTCGTGCTCCCAGGGTGGATGGAGAGGAGAGAATTGTGAGCCTCGTTCATGATCACTTTACGGAGGTCACCTTGTTGGGTTTCGTAGTAATTTCAAAAAATTTCCTACGCACACGCAAGATCAT